TAGATTATGAAATCACCAGGTATTCGAAAATGTCCAGCCTTAGTATTGAGTGATATGGCACGCAGAATTTGTTTGACTCAATTTAAATAAGTAATATATTAAAAACATAGTACCCCAAATTAACAGCGGTGATACAAATTTCCATGGAACATCTGCTAACTTTGTCTACTACTTCGCATATTCGTATTATCGTTCATACCAGAAGCGAATCCTTGTCAATGTAAAAAACGCATTTTCTGTATCATATGAAGCAATTTTTCCTAGCTCGAATAGCATTTTGGCTTGTGAAATATTCGATTCGGTAAGGTTTGATGTTTAAATTACATTTTATTTGATTCGAGAGTCTTGCTGTAGACGAACACAAATGTAATTCTGTAATCAAATAGAACAGTCATTTTTATTTCTGTCTGTCGAATTGCCCTTCACAATGTCTTCATTTATGTACGTTTTGGATATCTCCATTGTAAGACAACATACGAAAGTCAAGACTATCGCGTTAGGTGAATCTCAACCTGCATTCAATATTAGCATGAATTTTGGAACAAGTACAAGTGATATTATTATCTGCTCGAGAATACTTTGATATTTGGCGTACAGTACAGCAAAAAAAACGCGATTAATACTTTTAGTGAAATATCGCGATTAAGCAATGGGCACCTCTATACCAACGAATGTAATTTTAATTCAACAAATATTGTTGAATTATTAACTTTGAATTTACTGCCAATTTTTCCAGTAAACTCGATTTTTCATTAGACACGAACAAGGACCAATTTAATTCAAGTAGTATTGTAAAATAGTCATCTTCATATATTATATATATTGTAAATGCTATATATATAATTGTACATCGTCTTAAAATCTCAATGAGAACAATTTACAATTGCGCAATCCATGACCGATGCATGCATATTTATTGGCTTAATTGGGTTCAACCATAACTGACAATGTCATACTGCTTACAAAAGAACATACCTACTCTTGATGCCAGTAGTTTGATTAAGATGTTTGCGCCCGTCATCATAACCATGAGTGATTGTGTGGCAGATTGCAAAGATTTAGCGAATTCGGCAAATTTGGGACGTTTTTGCAACACTCCGCCCTATCGCAGATCTGTCACTCAGATTTTTTGAGAGATCACCGTTTGGAAAATTCCAAGATCTGGACAGAAAACGGAGGATTGAAAATTATTTATTGCAATAAAAATTTGATTGATATACTTCACATTAATTATCTTGTATATTGTCACATACCGGGAAAAAGTCGCATGCGGCACCATCGGTAGTTCCAGAATGGATAATGAGGTACATTGTGCGTACAATTGACTGTGTTTTGATTTCAGTGACTACGGTATACTTTTCGAAGAAAATCCAAAATAACAACTAATTTTGTGATTTACAATGTCTAAAAAAGCGTTTTATTTCGCGAGTCTGCTAAAACAAAACTTATGGTGTTATCTTCCGTTTTAGGTTTCAGTTTTTATTTTATAATGCCGCGCTTCAATCAAAAAATTTCAGGTTTGTATTCATCTCTTTATTAATTATTTTCAGCATCTCGCCGCCTATGATTATAATATACTAACTTGTTATCCACACTGAATTTACAATACCGCATCAGAACAAAAAAGTAATCATCATCGTCGTCTTCGTGGAACTTTACATGCATATGCCGAGAAAAATTTGTTTTTCCGGCACGTAAAGATGTTCACGGACTAGAATAACCCGTCACGCTGACGAAAACAATATGTGATTATAACAAAATGCAATCGCGCACATTATAAACCACCTTTTCAGTCTTTCAAATAATATAAAAAAGGAAGGAGTTTTGACGGCGAACTTAATAATGTGTTTGTCAAGTGCTACATATAAAGCCTCAATATATAAAATTCATCTATAAAATTTTTATTTATTCATCGCTTGTATTACTCCATTAAATAGATTTAGCATTTAAATTAAGTGTTTATTGGTTATTTTATTTTTTAAAATTCATTGTAGGGCCCCGTGAATAATAGTCAACCACTTTAAGGGCTCGGTAACACCAAAAGTTTGAGAACTTCTGGTCTAATATATCGCTTGGGTGGGTTGGCATGTTTGAACCCAGTGTGTATTTTGCGTTGGAGAATTGCTCGGTTAATTGCCAAGGTAAGGTGGTGATGTTTCATCTACGGATATCGTCACAAAACACGTCCACCCAGCTGTAATAACTGTGGCCGGAGACATAAAAGAAATGATTCAGTACACAGACAATTTCGAACCATTGATACTGGTAGTTAAGCTCCCCAGTAGCGGGTGACGATAAGTCAGGGTTAATTTTTGGTCCGTGTGAATGTGTTTCAGAATACAAATCAAATAAATTGGTACGTAATTTTTGTATACGATGTATACGTATACATTTTGTATACGATAGTGTATAAACTTTATTATGTTGAGACGCCCTGAATGAATTTTTCGAGTTTACCGCTCTTGCCCTGGTTTACGATTATTTTTGTGCAATGTGCAGGTATTCTGCAGTAGTTTCCATGCTACTGAGGACGTTCAGGTCGCGGAGATGCTAATAGGTATTCCAAGATGTGTGATACAATGTGACACGGTTATGTAATAATATTGGCACTGGTGTTTCGTTGATATTTGTCTAGTTTATATCGTGTGTGTTCATTTTGGTTGTAGGGATTGCACTTGTTTCCCTCTTTATGTTATGCTCTCCTCCCATGCAACAATGCGTTTTGTTTATCCGTTTGTTGTTGTTGTATTTCCATAGTGACTACTTGTTGAAGTTAATTGATTGATTAGATCCCCCTAAACTACGGTTGGGGGAACAGGGTTAGTGTCCGGGTCCGGCTTTATTGGTATATATTTGAAACACTATTTCTAATCAAATTGGAGGGATTTCTTTGGCAATTTTTTCATTACTTTCAGTTAGGAAATAGGCATATGTAGGCATCCCATAGCCTTGGAATAGCGTTATACAGATTCAAGACATGAGACATAAACGAAATCGACAAATCGCCATTTGACTTGATAGTGGTTGATACACGGAGATAATTTGAAATAAAACAAAACTCTAGTGAAGAACGACTCGCTACATCGACGGCGTCGCCATTGAATTCTAAAATTCGCTGGTTTATTGGAGCAGTATCTCGAAATTGGTCGCGATACTAACTGTTAACATAAGTGTACCCACCACTGTCTAGAAAACATTGAACGCTTGAAAACTTTACATTGCCGGTTGGCGAAGTGTACTTTGGTTGACATTGCGTCGTCGTGTGTGTGTATACCAAGAAAAAAGCATAATGTCAGTTCATTTTTTTGTTATTGTGATAACGGTTTCTGGGATTGATAACCGGACAAAGGCCGTAGAACAGGGGTGAGCAACCGCTCTATCGCAATGCTGCCACTCAGGGGTTATTTTTAGGATGCCACCGTTAAAAAATCCCTAAGTCTGCGATAAAATTTCATGAGATAAAATTTATTTTACATTAATTACCCGTATATCGCCATAATTGGAAAAAAAAACGTCAAGTCAGGCCTCGTCGACAGTTTTAGAATAAATAAAAGGGTGCTTCGCGTGCACAATTGACCGTCTCATAATGTAAAATTTTGCGATTTACAATGTCTCAAAAAGCGTTTTTCAATCTGTCGCGGGCCTTTTGAAACACAACTTATGGACGATGTTTTTCGTTTTATTTTCTGCATTTTATATTGCCGCTTTACAATCTAGAAAATTTTGGTTGTGGATCAACTTCTTCATTTATCTTCAACATTTCGTGGTCGATGCTAATATGATAACTCGTTTTTTTATCGACTAGAGTCACAGTCCCCTGCGAGAAAAAAAGTAATCATCATCTTCCTCGTGGCAGAAGACATATGTCGTCGAAAATTTGTTATTTAGGAAGAATAAACGCCGAAATAAAAATGTTTACAGCCTAACATGTCACACTGACGAAAATAATCAAAATGCAATCACGCACGTTATTAGCGACTTTTTCATGCTTCTTTTTAAAAATGTTTCGACCCCGGCGTACTACTACAAACATTCGGCGTATCACAAAGATGCATAAATTCCATCTTTAAAAATTGTCATTTCGACTTCAACGTTTGTTTGCGAGGTATACGAAGACTTGTGCAGCACGAAATAGACGGGAGTGAGCGTTTTGCGAGATGTTTTCCACGACTGAGTGCGGTTTGTCAATAATTACGACTCAACCTAATTCCAAATTTGCCCAACGTAACTGAAAATAAATTCCGTAAATTACGTGCAAGCCTACTTGCGCGAGATAATTACCTGACACAAGCGCATGGAACTGTAACCTGCCAATTGATCTGGGGTTCATGAAGCTTGATTGGACCACGTGATTGGACCGCCCCGGCAGTACGTTGTATAGGCGAGTTTGATGATTTAATTAATATTAATACAAACATTTCACTCTTACTTGACCTCTTGCCATGTTTGATTTGATTTATTTAGGGGCATCATTATCAGAAACTCGCAGCAGAAAAGTTTTGCACGCCCACGGAGATTGGGAAGAGAAAAGACGATTAAGGCTTAATCATAAGGCGAACCACTGCTTCTGTTTCGGTTAAGAGTCGGTATCGGATTAGTTTGTTATTCGTTTCAGATGCGCGGATTTGATGGTGAAGAAAGCCGTAACCGACCAGTGGTTACATGACCACCATACAGCGGCGTTGAGTCTTGATCCGCTTGCGTACAATTATCCCCTCGTAATGCGAACCTGCGCAAGGTTATCCGAGGTGCGTTAGCAAGCGTATTCCTAACGCTTAGCACAATGCGCCACGCCGCCGAGGTAAATGCTGTCAATACATGATTACGTCTAATTTTTATTTTAACGCGAGGTCAATGTGACCACTATTTCACAGGAAGGAAGCCTTATACCCAGATCTCGATTCGTGACTCCCTAGTCCACTTGATTTATAACACCGATGATGGAGCTGGAGTAACTTGTAGTTGCAGCACTAACTGGAAACATTGAAGAATCGAAAAGATGAAATTTTGTATCTTTTATTTCAGAATTTTGGCAACTCAAAAATTGATCTACATTCTAGATATGAAAAAAAGCTAATACTATCAGCATCTTTCTGTCTAGGGAAAAAATATACCCAGTTTGCCACTTAATAGCAATTCTCAATAACCCTTGAGACATCAATGATGGTTTCTTACAAGTATATCAAATTACACTTGAGATCTATAGTGCAAAAAAAATTTTGCTGGGAGCAGGGTCATATTATTCAACAATTGCCTTGTGACTAATTCATTTTGAAATGGCCAAGATACTGTGTGCATAGCAATTAGGTAGTAGAAGTAGGAATCGATTAAATAGTTTTTGCATTTACTTGGGTCTCTGAAATAGGCTCAAACCTAATGTGAGCTGAACGCCATGTAACAATTAATTTACAGCCAAGATTATACTGTGAAATTAGGTTTTTCCCTCCACAATATTCAAAATTATTAAACCAAACATTTAATCTTGGTCTTGGTGACCAACCATGATTAATAAACTAACCAGGGCAGCAGAAACTAACAAAAGTTCAGGGTAACAAAAATACTAAAATTTGACTCAATTCTAAGCAAAATGGCCAAGTTACTGTTTTTATAATAATAAAATTTTGATTGCAAAAAGAAATTGACCGCTGTGAGCGTTTATATTCTACTCAAGAAACATGGAACTCTGATACCATGCATGTCAAAATTTTGACTTTAACCCAGAGACCTGACAAACATTCTTGTCCAATGTCAGCATATACACAAGAGATAGGAGAAAACAACAAACATAGAAGTTATACTTGTTCGAGATCAAAAAATAAGCAAAAAAAAGTAGCAACAAAAATATAAATGCTTTGAAAAATGGAACAAACATTATGAGGCAAATATTTGCTATAGAGTAACATAAATTAGCAAAGAATATTCCTAAAAATTGCATTTTGGGCATAACGATTAAACTGAGCTGATGAATATTTAAAGAAATATAGCCAGAAACCGGAAGTTACTGAAAAAATAATGTGAGGGTTCGATTTTTAGTTAACGATTAATATATGAGCCATATTTAGGATGCTAACTAAGGGTTCTGAAATATTCAAAGACAGATTTATTTTGTCTTGTCCACCAGAAAACACAACAAAATATTATTAATTGAAAGCGAAAAGTTCTCGGTACAGACTAGGTGGCAACGATACGACCATGTGGTCATTGGAAAAGACTGTATCAATATACTCTAAATAGCATAATTTATAATAAATTATCAAATGAGGTGAATCAATCCATCCCAATGCTTGAACTTTATCTCTTGAAAAGTAAACTTCAAAAATAACTACAGATATGGAGCCATGAAACTTTATTTATGGAACAGCCCAAATCCTTTGACAGCTTTGCACACTGTGTGAGAAATAGCTATCTTACATTCCATTATAAGCTGGTCCTCCACCACCTTCCGGGCAAACCCAATTAATATTTTGGCTTGGGTCTTTAATATCACAGGTCTTGCAATGAACACAGTTTTGAGCGTTAATTTGAAGTCTCATTTCGCCCTCTTTACCGTCCTCTAGTGGCACATACTCATAGACACCAGCAGGACAAAACCTTTGTTCCGGTCCGTCGAATATTCCAAGGTTTTGGTAAACTGGAACGGAATCGTTTTTCAACGTTAAATGAGGTGGTTGATCATGCTCGTGATTTGTACCACTGAGAGCGACAGATGACAATAAATCAAATGAAATTTTACCATCTGGTTTCGGATATTCAATTTCTGTACACTCGCTGGCAGGCTTGAGCTTTTTTGCATCCGCCCCACCGTGTTTCAAAGTCCATGGTTCTACACCTCTACCGAAAACATAGAAGAGCGCAGTGTATATAATAGATCCATAAACTCCAAGAAAAGAATGGAAGGACGGTCTGACGTTTCGCACCGACTTCATCTCTTTCCAAACCCAGCTTTCCTTAAGTCTGTCTTCGTATTCTCTCACATATAGACCTTTGGTTTCATCAGTACGATTTTCATCAGTTACAGCCCCGAAAATAGACTCGGCTGCTATCATTCCACTTTTCATTGCAGTATGTGTGCCCTTAATTTTGGGAACATTCATGAAACCGGCACTACAGCCTATGATACATCCGCCAGGGAATGCAATCTTTGGAATGCATTGAAAACCTCCCTCATTGAGCGCACGAGCACCGTAAGAAATTCTCTTGCCGCCTTCAAATATATCACGTACAGATGGATGATGTTTGAAACGTTGAAACTCTCGGAAAGGACTCATGTAGGGGTTTGTATAATCAAGTCCAATGACAAATCCTACTGAAATCATTGGCTCTCCTTCATTTAAATGGTAAATAAATGAACCACCATAAGTAAATCGGTCTAACGGCCAACCTACAGTGTGTTCAATCTGTCCCGGCTTCCACTTTGACTCATCAATCACCCATATTTCTTTGAGACCGATCCCGTATGTCTGGGGCTCACAGTTTTCTCTTAAATTTAGATTCTCATTATTGTAAAGTCCTTTGGCCAACGACCCATGGCAGCCTTCAGAAAATACAGTAACTTTAGCATGAAATTCCATCCCACGTTCGAAAGTATCTTTCGGCGCACCGTCCTTTTGAATTCCAACATCGTTGGTAGCAATGCCCTTGACACTCCCGTCCTTGTGATATAAAACTTCACTGCAAGCGAATCCAGGATAAACTTCAACCCCCAGTTCCTCAGCTTGTTCTGCTAACCAGCGAACAACATTTCCCAATCGAACGATGTAATTTCCTTTATTATACATTGGGACCCCTGGAAAAAGTGGAATTGGTATTCTGCCTTTTTCTGTGAGAATTGCAAACTTGTCATGCGTGACTTCGGTTTTCATAGGCGCCCCCTTTTCCTTCCAATCAGGAATGAGTTCGTTCAATGCTTTTGGCTCGATGCATGCACCAGATAATGTATGAGCACCCATCTCTGCAGCTTTTTCAAAGACACAAACCCGTAGTTCTTTTCCAGCCTCATTGCTCATTTGTTTCAGCTTGATGGCGCAGGAGAGTCCAGCTGGGCCTCCTCCCACTATTATGACGTCTGCTTCATCAGCATAACGTTCCATATCGATCTCTTTCCATCTTGAATCTGTTTCTCTTGGTACAATACTATAATGCGTTGTTATTTTGGGGGTTGTAGACGAAAACCTCCTTGATATTCCATGTAAGCTAGGATGTAAAAGCCGAAGAGCTCTCAATGTTGCCATACTCCCAAAAAATCAAATCTTGACTAGACTAGTTTACATCTACAAGTTACATACCTTCATAACAAACAAAAAAAGTTTTTTTTTAATTAGATTGTAGATTAAATTTTAGGTTCTACTATTGTAGGAGGTATATCTCAATCTAGTACTATAGCGTGAGGTCTATAGGGTGTCCATAAAATCTTAAACTTTTTGAAATTGCAAAGGGAATATATCGATACCACACCTTATATTGGCCCTCACAGATGTATTGAATGAAGTAAAAATACTTGAATAATTACCGATTAAAAACAACAAACCTGGTTATGGTTAAGATATATTGACAATTGATTTTATACCAAAATTGAAATTGTAAAAGGACTTTATGGACACCCTGTATATAGTGTGATCTACATCCACCTAGCACCATCGGTAAGATCTACTTTAAGCTAGTACCATAGCGTAAAGTCCACCTCCACCTATTATTATAGCATAAGATATACATCTGCATTTTCCATCCCAAATGGATATCACTTATTTAATTTAGCGAGGAACACTTATTTTGTACAAAGCCCAACCAATCCTAACTATACCAACTTCTAAACCTTAATTAAGAGTCTAATGTGAAAGAAACCAAGGCAGCAGCAAAGGCCAATAAAAACCAGAAAGAAGTGACTGGAAGCATCTAGCACCCATCAGCAGTCTGAACCTAAAATTAAACGAACAGATTCAGGGTGGGCAACATATGGTGGGTGGACATCACGTTGTAGCAACACCAAATCTTTGGAAACTCTCAGACATTTGTGAAAGTTCAATTTGAGTTCAACCCTAACCTGGTACACATACTACGGGAGTACCGAAAAACATTTTGAAATCATTATTAACCAGTATAGATAAATCATCAAGCACAGCACAGAATAGAGTCATGCATTCTAAAATATCACAGGAAAATAAAAACAACTTTGAACAGATAATTTTCTCAGTATTCTTTATACATTATTTTGATAAGAATCGAATATTTTATAAAACCTACAAAAAATATGATTTTATTTAAAGGAGAGAATAAATTCTTTGCTATTGCAGGACATATACAAATGTAGACAGGACAGGATTGCTCAATAATGCAAGATAAAAATAAAAAGAATATGCGGTCAACACAACTAACACCTTGTCTATAAATAATATAATTACAAGACGAATAAACACAATTCATCCAAACATACATTTCTGGATATTAGAAACAAAGAAGTACCATTAAAACGAGAATATCGGTCAGAGGCCGAAGACTTATCGATCGAAAGTTAGGGGATCCCCCAAAACAGCGCTCTTACTCCATAGTGACACCTTGTATCCCATCACTAATCAATTAATAACTTGCTAATTAATCGACATAATTCATCCAAAATCAATAGGCTTCTGGTCTGAGATATGATGAGTGCACATGCAAAATCTGGAGCAGATTCAACAACGCCTTCGTGAGATATCGCGTGCATCTAACAGACAAACAGACGAATACCTATCAACATACTTACCGATCTAAAGATCCATAAGTAATGATAGTTAAATATGTTTATATGTGAGCCAACCTGATATAAGGCACAAAAAACGTTACAACAAAAATATTTTTTCTCAAACCATGACAAGTGCCCCAATGCAGGAGTAAAAAGACTCATCTCTGAGAAAAGTTCTGGGCTACTGTTGAATTGCCAAGATCTAATGAGGTATAAACAATACTAGGGGTGTAATATGCCAAAATACTTGCTGAAAAAAGCTGCTCAAAACAAAGACCCAACATAAAAAAAGAAGACAATCCCTGAGAAAATTATGAGTGATTGCTGAATTGCAAAGATCTTCTGAAATTGTATAGAATTATTGCATTATAATAAGCCAGTAAATGCTGATTGACATGAATTTAAAACAGTTCATGTGCATCTTATTTAACAGCTAAACGTCTTCCGCCATCGAGCAATAAGCATTGCCCTGTTGTCCAGGCAGAACTTTCCGATGCAAAGAACAAGATGGCATTGGCTACTTCTTCAGCTGTTCCATTTCTTCCGATCGGATGCAACTTCTCTTTGTCTTCATAGACTTTTTCCTTTGTTTCCGAGTTCCAATCAGATTTGTACCTATTTAAATACAAACAGTTTGACAGAATAGTACCAGGCCTGGTTCTTAGCCTATCAAACACTCTATCTATATATATATATACAGATGTTTTAAATTTATTGCTACTGTGCAGTAACCTAATGAATGCCCTCATACAGCAACAGCATATACAAAATGGTCAGGAGCCTTAGGTGGTCCACGTAACCGCTGGTCGGTTACGGCTTCCTCCACCATCAAGTCCATGCTTCCGAAAACAAATAACTGACTAATCCCATACCCGACATGGAATGATAACTGGACTTGAGGCCATGGTCTGCCATATGGTTAAGCCGTCTTATTGGCTATATTTACATATTTATCTTATTGGCCAGGGATAAATATGTACCGGTAAATTATATCCTGGAACTACCAGAAATTCTAACCATATGACTACCGGTACTTTTTCACATTTATAATACTTTGAGAAAATATAATTATGATTATTATGATGATTTTAATATACAAGTTAATATTCTATGATTTGAAACCCCTAAATCACAGCATTTGCTATGAATGCCCTGGTCAAATTGCGACCCTGCTTTTGAAAGAAAAATAACCTTTTACTTATGAATTATGATCATTTTAAATTTGTTAAAAAGCTATTTTCACCTGTATAGTTCAGTCTGCACACTAGAAGGATTGACGGCATTCACCCGCACTCCTCTTGGAGCATATTCTAATGCTATGGTTTTTGTAAATTGATCAACAGCAGACTTTGTCATATTATAAATCAAAATTCCCGGATATTGACAAACACTACAAATGCTTGAAACATTGACAATATTTCCTTTTGTTTTTACCAATTCTGGCATCAATAGTTGTGTTAAATATACCATCGACTTAACATTGACTTGAAATTGCCAATCGAAATCTTCCATAGTCAGTTCCTCTAAATTTCCGACTGTTACCACTCCTGCATTGTTGACTAAAATATCCAATTTCCCAAACGTTTTTATCGTTTCATCCGCGACTTTTTTTATCTCCTCCAGATTAACAAAATCAGCAATAATTGTCAAAACATCCTTGGCTCCCTTAGATTTGCACTCTTTAGCAACTTTTTCTAAATTTATTCGATTTCTACCAGTGATAGCCAATGAACTGCCATGATCCGCAAATCGAAGTGCAGTTGCAGCACCAATCCCACTCGATGCTACAGTTATAAGAACAATTTTACCTTTGAAATTACAATTCATGTTTGCAGAGCATGTAAAACCTATTTAGAATCTGTAATAGAACAGTCACAGTAGTGGATTAAATTATCTGGCCATATAACATGAAGATACTCGACAGTTAGTGAAGTTTATCACCAGGCAGAAATCTTATGAGCACAGGGCAATTTGATTATTTTTTTAAACTTATTTTAGCTAAAGTTTCAAGTAATCCACTGAACCAATACAAACAAATTAAGACTAAATAAACCGCAAATATAGCAAACAAAACTCAAAAAATTATCTAACCCTTGTGGGGCACGACTGGTCCTACATTATTTTGGTAAGAATTGTATATTTTGTAACTTACATAAAATATTATTTTATTTGTGTTGAACATGATGAAAGGGAATAAAATCAGAAATAAATTATTGCTATTGCAGAAAATATATAGGTGTAGGATAGAATTGCTATATAATGTAAGATAAAAATAAAAATTATATGCAGTAACCGTAACTAACTTGGATCAGAAGTTCAAAAACTTTCAAAAAACACTCTAACTGAAATTTAAGTATGAAAATCTTGGGTTCAAGCACTACCACAGCACTCAATTGAGAGTTAAATAAAAGTTATTTGGAACCATAAAGATCAAAGTTCTATTAAAAAATTAAGCTCTGTAAAAATCAGAGCATATGGTATTTGCTTGAAGCCTTGTCTGAAGACAAATTTATAAAACCTATGTAGCATCACAGTAGAGGTGAGATCGGGCCAAAAAATTCCAGCCAGACCCCGTGGGTATTAAACCCGACCCAACCACAGAGCCGGACTAATTAACTGGATTTGCAGGCCCGAGCCCGAAGCAAATCCGAAATTCTTAAAATAAGCCGCAAAAATTTTGCAATGGTAAAGTATAGGAAGAATATTTTCAGGGGTCAAAGATCGGGGAAAGGTCCATTACAGCTTCTTTTCTGTTTTATTCAAATTATTTCTTCTATAACAAGTATTCTTTAGTTTAGTATCCACACATAATTTTAGTATATATTTTTTATAAACATATATTTATTTAAAAAAAAGTCAGCGATAGAGAAGGCTGACCCGACGCCAACTTGATATTTCAGGCCCGATCCTACCCAAAATTCGGGTCGAGTCGGTTTCAGCTCTTAGCTCTACAACACAGTGCCATATGCTGATCTGTGAATTATGCAGTTTTGTACAAATAATCTGCAAGCGTGCCGAATAGGCTTGGTGGCTTTACCCACTGACAAAACAAAAGCTCTGTTAACTCCGAAGGTCCCGCATCTGGCCATATCCTATTGCAGGGGTGGCCAACCTGCTTCCGACCGCAATCGACTAAAATCTTCACAATAGATCGCTATCGACTGAATGGGCACTGAATGTGCAGATAACTGTACACGCTTACAAAAAATTCGCAAAATCGACGCAAAATTTGGTTTTTTTATGTTCCATTCAAGTTTTTGATCTGAATATTTAATTGTACCCGAGTAAATGGTTTTCATTATTTATTTAAGATTTATTTTAATTATACAACTCAGATAAAGTACGTGCCTAATTTTTAGTCGCAAGTGTCGAAAATTCTTCAAGAAACCTTGCCAAGTATTATCAAGACAGTGAAAAATGAATATTTTCAAACCATGAATGTTACGTGACTGCTCAAACTTCAGTATCTTATTTACAATTTCCTCCAAACGCGATTCTTCGCTTGCTTAGAATTAGAACAAATTGGGCATTTTGATGCCACTGCTACCATTGCGAATAAAATTTATCACATTACTCTTGGAAGGGGACAATACCTTTTGCATACTGCCAAGTTATTGTAGGATCGTTTGCCAGTCTAGACCAGGGTTGCCAGATCCCAGTGATAAAAAAAAAGCAAAATCAAGACAGAAAAAAAGCCAACAATTTTAACAAGTTTAAAAACCTCATGATTTGGAACTCCTAGCACAATTGTGGATTTGCTGATTTAGAGCCATCAGTTGATTTGGAGATCCACATCAAATGCTAAATCCTACTAAAATTAGTAGTGTTTGTTGCTATTATGACGATTTCCACTTCAGCAATATCAAGAGTTTAGGACTAAGAAAGGTTATTGAATGGCAGAATTAGAATGTATATCTGATATGATACAGTCAAGCTGACATATACATAAAAAATTAAAAAAAGCCAAAAAAAACAAATTTTCACAAGGATTCGCCACGACACAATGATTCGACACAACATCGATTTTTAAAGCGGACAGCACTATTTTTTCAATTCAGGTATATACAATACACCACGCTTTAGGAGGGATAAATGTACATGTTTCTACAGATAGTTTGCACAGATAGTCCACTGATAGATGATTTTAGCCAAGATAATCACATCATTTGCGAGAATTACTGAATTAGGCATACAACTATTTTTTGGGAACGTTACAAATAACACTGTAACATGCAAAACTATGAAAACGAAGCCTGCTTGAACGAACATCTGTCTGAGCAGCTGCAAAAATTTCAATTGTTATGTCATTCTAAGTGATTCAATAGTCTTGCTGCACACTAACACAAATGTATTTCTGTAACGTTTCGTCTGACCAAGGTCAGACTTCCTCATAGTTCAACCTAAGCGATAGCACATGTTATATGTCATTGTTGGCTTCTTTTTGATAGATTGGGGATAGACAATTTTTGGGGTATGGTTAAGCCGTCTTATTGGCTATATTTACATATTTATCTTATTGGCCAGGGATAAATATGTACCGGTAAATTATATCCTGGAACTACCAGAAATTCTAACCATATGACTACCGGTACTTTTTCACATTTATAATACTTTGAGAAAATATAATTATGATTATTATGATGATTTTAATATACAAGTTAATATTCTATGATTTGAAACCCCTAAATCACAGCATTTGCTATGAATGCCCTGGTCAAATTGCGACCCTGCTTTTGAAAGAAAAATAACCTTTTACTTATGAATTATGATCATTTTAAATTTGTTAAAAAGCTATTTTCACCTGTATAGTTCAGTCTGCACACTAGAAGGATTGACTAAAATATCCAATTTCCCAAACGTTTTTATCGTTTCATCCGCGACTTTTTTTATCTCCTCCAGATTAACAAAATCAGCAATAATTGTCAAAACATCCTTGGCTCCCTTAGATTTGCACTCTTTAGCAACTTTTTCTAAATTTATTCGATTTCTACCAGTGATAGCCAATGAACTGCCATGATCCGCAAATCGAAGTGCAGTTGCAGCACCAATCCCACTCGATGCTACAGTTATAAGAACAATTTTACCTTTGAAATTACAATTCATGTTTGCAGAGCATGTAAAACCTATTTAGAATCTGTAATAGAACAGTCACAGTAGTGGATTAAATTATCTGGCCATATAACATGAAGATACTCGACAGTTAGTGAAGTTTATCACCAGGCAGAAATCTTATGAGCACAGGGCAATTTGATTATTTTTTTAAACTTATTTTAGCTAAAGTTTCAAGTAATCCACTGAACCAATACAAACAAATTAAGACTAAATAAACCGCAAATATAGCAAACAAAACTCAAAAAATTATCTAACCCTTGTGGGGCACGACTGGTCCTACATTATTTTGGTAAGAATTGTATATTTTGTAACTTACATAAAATATTATTTTATTTGTGTTGAACATGATGAAAGGGAATAAAATCAGAAATAAATTATTGCTATTGCAGAAAATATATAGGTGTAGGATAGAATTGCTATATAATGTAAGATAAAAATAAAAATTATATGCAGTAACCGTAACTAACTTGGATCAGAAGTTCAAAAACTTTCAAAAAACACTCTAACTGAAATTTAAGTATGAAAATCTTGGGTTCAAGCACTACCACAGCACTCAATTGAGAGTTAAATAAAAGTTATTTGGAACCATAAAGATCAAAGTTCTATTAAAAAATTAAGCTCTGTAAAAATCAGAGCATATGGTATTTGCTTGAAGCCTTGTCTGAAGACAAATTTATAAAACCTATGTAGCATCACAGTAGAGGTGAGATCGGGCCAAAAAATTCCAGCCAGACCCCGTGGGTATTAAACCCGACCCAACCACAGAGCCGGACTAATTAACTGGATTTGCAGGCCCGAGCCCGAAGCAAATCCGAAATTCTTAAAATAAGCCGCAAAAATTTTGCAATGGTAAAGTATAGGAAGAATATTTTCAGGGGTCAAAGATCGGGGAAAGGTCCATTACAGCTTCTTTTCTGTTTTATTCAAATTATTTCTTCTATAACAAGTATTCTTTAGTTTAGTATCCACACATAATTTTAGTATATATTTTTTATAAACATATATTTATTTAAAAAAAAGTCAGCGATAGAGAAGGCTGACCCGACGCCAACTTGATATTTCAGGCCCGATCCTACCCAAAATTCGGGTCGAGTCGGTTTCAGCTCTTAGCTCTACAACACAGTGCCATATGCTGATCTGTGAATTATGCAGTTTTGTACAAATAATCTGCAAGCGTGCCGAATAGGCTTGGTGGCTTTACCCACTGACAAAACAAAAGCTCTGTTAACTCCGAAGGTCCCGCATCTGGCCATATCCTATTGCAGGGGTGGCCAACCTGCTTCCGACCGCAATCGACTAAAATCTTCACAATAGATCGCTATCGACTGAATGGGCACTGAATGTGCAGATAACTGTACACGCTTACAAAAAATTCGCAAAATCGACGCAAAATTTGGTTTTTTTATGTTCCATTCAAGTTTTTGATCTGAATATTTAATTGTACCCGAGTAAATGGTTTTCATTATTTATTTAAGATTTATTTTAATTATACAACTCAGATAAAGTACGTGCCTAATTTTTAGTCGCAAGTGTCGAAAATTCTTCAAGAAACCTTGCCAAGTATTATCAAGACAGTGAAAAATGAATATTTTCAAACCATGAATGTTACGTGACTGCTCAAACTTCAGTATCTTATTTACAATTTCCTCCAAACGCGATTCTTCGCTTGCTTAGAATTAGAACAAATTGGGCATTTTGATGCCACTGCTACCATTGCGAATAAAATTTATCACATTACTCTTGGAAGGGGACAATACCTTTTGCATACTGCCAAGTTATTGTAGGATCGTTTGCCAGTCTAGACCAGGGTTGCCAGATCCCAGTGATAAAAAAAAAGCAAAATCAAGACAGAAAAAAAGCCAACAATTTTAACAAGTTTAAAAACCTCATGATTTGGAACTCCTAGCACAATTGTGGATTTGCTGATTTAGAGCCATCAGTTGATTTGGAGATCCACATCAAATGCTAAATCCTACTAAAATTAGTAGTGTTTGTTGCTATTATGACGATTTCCACTTCAGCAATATCAAGAGTTTAGGACTAAGAAAGGTTATTGAATGGCAGAATTAGAATGTATATCTGATATGATACAGTCAAGCTGACATATACATAAAAAATTAAAAAAAGCCAAAAAAAACAAATTTTCACAAGGATTCGCCACGACACAATGATTCGACACAACATCGATTTTTAAAGCGGACAGCACTATTTTTTCAATTCAGGTATATACAATACACCACGCTTTAGGAGGGATAAATGTACATGTTTCTACAGATAGTTTGCACAGATAGTCCACTGATAGATGATTTTAGCCAAGATAATCACATCATTTGCGAGAATTACTGAATTAGGCATACAACTATTTTTTGGGAACGTTACAAATAACACTGTAACATGCAAAACTATGAAAACGAAGCCTGCTTGAACGAACATCTGTCTGAGCAGCTGCAAAAATTTCAATTGTTATGTCATTCTAAGTGATTCAATAGTCTTGCTGCACACTAACACAAATGTATTTCTGTAACGTTTCGTCTGACCAAGGTCAGACTTCCTCATAGTTCAACCTAAGCGATAGCACATGTTATATGTCATTGTTGGCTTCTTTTTGATAGATTGGGGATAGACAATTTTTGGGGGTATTTCGATAAAATCCACATCAGACGCGATCGACTGCTCGAGACGTGGTGATCGACCGGTCGATCGCGATCGACGTGTTGACCATCCCTGTTCTATTCTATCTAAATATAAAGTATGGAAGTAAGGTACAGGTAATAGTTTTTAATAATTAACTTCATTTCATGTTTAAATCAATTTAAAGAATTGAAGAACAGGGGAATATCCTTATCCCAGACAATATTGCTGATAACAAATGAAAATGAACTATCGTTAGTGATATTTAAAATTCTTTTACCTCAAATAAAATAAAAGCTCTCTGAGGTGGTTTTTAAAAATTAAAATAAGTGAGACTACCAGATCTACGCTAAATTTATTCTTTTTGGAATAAATTTATGATTTGCGTCTAATCTTATAAAGTTTCATGTGATTACATCATGACTTTAAAATTTCAAAATTTCTTTAGATTATTCAAAATGAAAGGAACAATTGGATTAAAAAATGAGAACATTATTGGAATCTTAGTTGCAATTGTTTTACATGAATCACCAAACGATTCATATATCCATTGTAGTATGAACTCACTTGTACAAACAGTTTTTTACAAATCACCACCCTTGACCCAGTTACCCCCCACATCCTCTGGCTATTGCTTTGCCTTCTAGCAGACGAATAAACACAATACATACAAACATACAACTTCTGGATATTAGAAACAAAGTAGTACCATAAAAAGGATAGTTAATTTTGCTACTTATATGTGAGCCAACCTGATATAAAGGAAAAGAAATGTTACAACAAAAATATTTTTCTCAAAGTGCCCCAACAAAAGAGTAAAAAATACTCATCTCTGAGAAAAGTTACTGCTGAATTGCCAAGAAAGTATTAACAATACTAGCAGTGTAATATTCCAAAATATTTGCTAAAAAAATCTGCTCAAAACAGAGAAAATATCTATAACATAAAAGAAAAGAAGACTCATCTCTGTGAACTGCTGAATTGCCAAGAAATGCTGATATTATATAGAATTATTACATCATAATATGCCAGTAAATGCTCATTGACATGAACATAAAACAGTTCTCATGGTCATTTCAATTAACAGCTAAACGTCTTCCACCATCGAGCAATAAGCATTGCCCTGTTGTCCAGGCAGAACTTTCTGATGCAAAGAACAAGATGGCATTGGCTACTTCCTCAGTTGTACCATTTCTACCGATTGGATGCACCTTCGCTCTGTCTTCATAGAACTTTTTCACCGTTTCTGAGTCCCAACCAGATTTGTTCCTATTAAATACAAACAGATTGACATTAGGATTCTGTACTCGTGTAACCTTGAATGTATGCTCTCATACAGCATATACAAATTGGGCAGCGACATCAATTTTCTTTACTGAACCAACTCAAACAATTTTTTTCATGCAAATAACATCAGTATATTGTTGGATTTTTTTTTGTTTTAATTTATAAATGTTCATGTTGTTTGTGTAAAAAAATGAATCTTTCTCTTGTGGTGAACATTAGGATATGCTCCCCTTTGCATCTCTGATTACCCTGAGCGGTTGGAAGGCTCAAATCCCATGATGTTTTTTACATAGATCGTAATTGGTAACAGGATGTAATTTTAGTCAGACTTCACAACTCTGATTTGTGATGTATTTTATGAAACTGTTTATGGGAAATTGCTCCACTAGAAATACTAGAAAGAACATAGGAATTCTTGGTGAAGTTGAAGGGCTGAGGATTTAAATCTGGAACCAATTTCATTATAATAGATGGGAGTCGGAACTACCAGAAATTTTATTCGTTTTGAACAGTTTCTAACCATATGACTATTTTTTTCAAATTTATAATACTTTGAAAACAACAAAATTTGCTCATTTCAAGCTTTTAAATTTTTTTTAATAAGCAAGCAATAAATTATATTTCAAAATCCTCAAATCATGATTTTAATGTGAAACATCATTCAGACTGACGTTTCATGGCAGTCATACGGCTGGAGCTCACTTCAGAAGTAAAAAAGGGAGGTACGGTACTCCAGTGTCAGAGCCACAGCTTGAATACACCGTCGCTCCAATCAAAGACATTCAGATTTCAGCTCCCTAGCCTGGTCAAACTGTGACCCTGCTTTTGAAGTATATTTAAAATACTAAAAAGCTATTTTCACCTGTTAATCTCAGTCCATATATTAGAAGGATTGACGGCATTCACTCTGACCCCCCTTGGAGCGTATTCCAATGCTATGGTTTTCGTAAATTGATCAACAGCAGACTTTGTCATATTATAAATCAAAACTCCCGGATATTGGCAAACACTACAAATGCTTGAAACATTGACAATATTTCCTTTTCTTTTTACCAATTCTGGCATCAATAGTTGTGTTAAATACACCATCGACTTAACATTGACTTGAAATTGCCAATCGAAATCTTCCATAGTCAGTTCTTTTAAATTTCCATTTGTTATAACTCCTGCATTGTTGACTAAGATATCCAATTTCCCAAAGGTTTTTATCACCTCATCTGCGACTTTTTTAACATCCTCCAGATTAACAAAATCAGCTATAATGGTCAAGACATCCTTGGCTCCCTTAGATTTGCACTCTTTAGCAACTTTTTCTAAATTTATTCGATTTCTACCAGTGATAGCCAATGAGCTGCCATGATCAGCAAATAGAAGTGCAGTTGCAGCACCAATCCCACTTGATGCTCCAGTTATAAGAACAATTTTATCTTTGAAATTACAATTCATGTTTGCATAGCAAGTAAAACCTATTTAGAATCTGTAATAGAACAGTCACAGTATAAGATGACATCATCTGACCGAACAAAATAAAGATGCTCAATAGTTGGTAAAAACGCTAGGCCATCATTCCCCAGTGAAAAATTTCTCCCCAAGGAGGAATCCTCGAGCGCAGGGCACAAAAACATGCAAGCTTGGCTGACAATTTGATTATTTTTCCATAACTATTCTAGCCTAAGTTTTAGGTAGGATACTAACCCAATGAAAACAAATTAGGATTAAATAGACCACAAATATTGCAAAAAAACAGGCATTAAATTGAAATTCAACACCTGGTCTACTTCAGTTCGATATAACATTATTGGGTCAAAACAATGTCATCAAAAACGAGTGGTTCCAATTCTGTTATTTTACGCTTCATTGACTACTACTGGTAGTATAAAATATGAAATCAATTTATACCGAATGACAGCACTATCCCAAAATTTTAGAGATTGACAATTTACTCGTATTTAAGCTTGCTACGTAGAATCTACAACAGTAATTATTAAACACACAGTACTGAAAGAAAGTGTATTGAACTACAGTCCGCTCATGCAGAGGGAATTTCTCTCTGAATACAAGACATCGATAGCAGTAATAACTATATTAAGCAGTACTGGCAAATAGTAAAAAAGACAGTCTAGAACAGCGGTTCTCAAACTTTTTAATCCACGTCATCTTTTTTAAAATTTGTCAAGTCTCGTGCCCCAAATTGAAAATAACTAGCTAACAATAGGCTACAAATTACAGATAGTAAGGCGGAAGTTGAAAATATGTGGATGGAACATAAATATCCAAAATGAAGAAATGTAAATATCCAAATTAAGGCGGGCAAAATCAAATCTAACGATTTTTTATTTTGGATTAGCTTCACGCTCAAAAAATTGTCTACACACCCCTTTGGCAAGGCGCACCACATCGTTTGAGAAACACTGGTCTAGAATAAAGAGTCAGTGAGAGTTCAGGAAATGACAACTTTCCATTTGCTAACACGGTAAATCGATAATACCCATCTAAGCATAGGCATATTTTGCCTTTTATCTTAGGTTAGGCTAGGCTCAGGATGCGTTGTTGAAGTATTGAGTGAGCCATCTAACAACCAAATCCGTAGAGAGTTTGTCCTAGTCTTTTCAAGGCGAACACAACAGCCAATATTATAAATTCAGTTTATTTTAATCCATTGGTAAAAGCAATGAGCTTGAGCACACACTTTTTCATCCCACTTTTTTTAGTTGCTAATATGCCAAGATGAAATATCAAGTGGACCCTTACTCATTCTTTTCAGCTTCAGGTGCGGTTTTTGTTCTTTTCAACGACACAAGAAATTCTTTACTGTCAACGACGTAAGACCCAACAGGCCCCCTTTCGCAATCTGCACATGCCAGATATTTTATGTTATCAACAGTGTTACAAAAACCTATATTTTCAAAATCATACATGTCCGATACCATCCAAAATTCATTTAATTTTTCTCCCTCCATTTCAAACTTTTCTCCGTTTGCTTTCTTTTTCTGTTGCAGGAATGGTAAAAATACTCCCTCTTCTTTATTGATAAAGTTTGCTGAATTTGGCCGAAGAATGACACTAGGACAATACTGACACAAAATGGTATTCCTGTTCTTTCGAGTTGAATCGCCCGACTCCATATTCCAACTTTCTTTTGATAATCCCAATTATGTAATATATTTTTATTTATTATATACTGGAATGTAACATATGAATATCATAAATTTTGAAAATTTGGAATTTGGAATAAAAATAAGAAGTCTATTCCAAGTGATTCAGGAATCTTGCTGCGCACTGACACTAACAGACTAATATATTTCTGCAACCTTTCGTCTGACCAATGGCAGACTCCTAAACAGTAGTTGCAGTATGCATGTCTGAAGAAGTCAGACCTTGGTCTAATGAAATTTAAAAAATACATTATGTTAGTGTGCAGCAACCAGCAAGGCTCTTAATTCACAAATAGTTATCTTCACTCTTGCTACAGCATTCTTACACTACATGCATACAGATCAACTGGCACAATAGCATAAAATAAGGGTAGTTTCCGTAGTCCCCAGACAAAACCCAATCGATAGCAACAATAATAAGCGTACTATATTGACTATAATATGGATCAGTTAAAATAACAGCCAATCTTATATGAGGTATTTCGACTCCATAATCTGCATAACAGCCAATGAAATAACTGATAAAGACTGATTATAGAATCAGGGGAGCAAACAAAACCTCAAGATTTATAGCATATGAAATTTAAGTTGGAAGGTTTTGCCAAAAGAAGTGGTAGGCCTGGGCCTACTTGTCAATCAGTCAGTTGTTTATTTTTACACATGCCGTAATTACCGTACCCATTGTACATACAGAATTAAGAAAGGTAAAAAGTGCATTACAGTCATTACCGTACCGTATGCAGGTATGGTTCTATAGAACCGTCTCACGAAATTTTAGGAAATCAGCGAACCGGTTAGCATTACTACATTACTAAGAAAACATGTGAGGGAGGATGCGATAAAATCTAACCTGAAAGTATCAATTTAATTCAGACACACTCATCTCTAAATAAGACACTAAGATACAGCTGTACTCAGAAAGTTCAGAAGTTAGATAGAATAGTAAGTAACACTGACTAGTACCCATATCAGCATATAGAGTAGACTAAAATAATTCGGCCATCCTGTTTATTGTGTGGTATTTCAGTTGATTGCCATACCGGTACCCGTACTGGTAATTAATTACAAAAAAAACAGGAATATCCAAGCTCTGAATGTTTAAATGAGTTTTCAAGTTGAGTTTTCAGTTTAAATGAGTTTTCAACAAAATATGCCCTCCCATATATATTACCATATATCGATTTTGTGAAGTATTATTTTCCAGACAACTTTTCTAATAGCCATTTTCAATGTGAACCATAATCACATCAGCAAATAAGGTAGGAGTTGACTTCGATGACCGCATACCGCATGGTCGTATCGCTCCCTCCTGTTCATACCAAAGCAATTTTTATATTAATTTTGCCAAATTTTGTTTTTGTGTGAGGTTGTCTGTTTGCATTTTGGTTGACAAAGTGACAAATATTTATCTCTTTTCTATATGGAACCAGGTTCTGTGGATTGAACCAGTATTGCACTTGATTAAAGTGTAGTATAATTATATATATACAATATTTACACATGCCTTCTGAACTATACAATAAATCTACTAATGTAAAGTGTTAAATAGTAAAAAAAAAATTTTATCAACTGACTCATTCATTCATTTTTCCGTCTTTATAATTTCATAGTGTGATAATCCATACTGACAGTTCGATCACAGTGTAAATAAAATGGTCGGGAGCCTCGGTGACCTGTAAAGGTCTTGCATACTGACCATCACAATTCAATGTTAAAACATCCACTGCACTGTATTTTCATGAAAATCTGTACCATTGTCCTTTTTTGACATTGTTTTGTGGAAATAAAATCTCTCTCTCTCTCTGAAGTCAGAGGTAATGCAATTTTGTTTACACATTCTGCCTTGGTATTGCAAGGCAACAAAGGCTAGAGCCACATGCTGCGATGATAGCATGATCTTGCAGTTTCATACAGCAGTACCAGAGTACGGTATGGGTACTGTATCCACATGGCCATTCCTGTATTTTTTCAATTATCGGCAATTGTTGTTTATTAATTCATATATCCTGATGGCCGCAAACGTGTTTAAATGTGCACCATGCATTTGTATAATAGGTACCGGTAATACTGTAATAGAAAATGGCAAATATTTGAAACATGGAAATACGACCGCGACTAAAAAAAATCAAAACGGCACTAACAGCCGATTCTGCTGCCTTCCTTTACCATTAAATCAAATCGAAATTAAAAGAAAATTTCCCTTTCATGAAAATATTGTTGCTCAATATTGCAATACCGTATTCATGGAATTGAGAACTTCGCACGCAACAGATATAATTAATTGATTGATCAAAGTCCAAATTCCAAAGCACGAAAATCCGCTATCGTACGATTGGTCGTTCTTTGCAGGCGGGGGCCGGTCTAATGACACTCCTTATGGCTGGCAATTTACTTGGCTAACGCACTGGTACGTGTATAACATAACCCATTTCTTTCCGCATCCTTCGAAAGTCGGAACTTTTATCATGAATAGTTAATTTAATAATTTCAGGGCTGATCTTTTTAAACGGTGGCATTAAACAACTGTCATTCCGACGTAGACTCGGAAACATACCTGTCATTCTCGGCTATGAATGTTTTTCCTCCGCCGTTTTAGCTAATTATCTTTTTGAAATTGGTTCCGTATCACATTATCAAATCTACTCATCAGGAAAGAATGGGAGATCGATAGGCCGTCGTTAGCCGTGCATCGGTGTGATAAGTCTTCTTTTGGCAACACCTTTTATTCTGAATTCTGTACGTTTTAAACCATACGTTACCTCTCCTGATTCTGTCTGTAATCGTGGATTAAATCGTGGATCTAAATTGGATTGAAAAGCGGCATTATAAAATACTGGAAATAAAACCGCAAACAATATAAGTTTTGTTGAGTCCCGCGACAGTTTAAAAACGCTTTTCTAGTCGCAAAATCGCAAAATTTCGTGTGCTTACGGCGCACATTATGTTTGGTCGCCGTTTAGGAACATACCGTCACTAAAATCGAAACACGGTTAAATATTGTGGGTGGGATTCGCCTTTTATCCATTACTTTGAAATTGTCGTAAAAAATTTTCGTGTTATCATTAAACAAGGTTGAAAACGCGATTTTTTCCCGGTTTGTGATGATATATAAGATAATTAATCCGAAGTATATCCATCAATTTTTATTGTACTGAAATAAAATTTACTCCATGAGAATTTACAGCAGATTTACGGATTTTTCAGGAGGTTTTATCTTTAAAAATAATCGGAGTGTCAGCATTGCGATTGAACGGAGTCAATGTTACAAGCACATCTCAAATTTGTCGAATTTGCAAAATAGAAAAAATACGAATCAAAACAATATATGATAGGCGACGGGCAGTTACCACAAATTTTTATTTTTATGTCGGCAAATGGCCGAGGTATTTTTAAATTGTGAATTGTAAAAAATTGTTTTGTTTTGTCGACGCAAACGCTGGTTAAATTGAAGACAATTAAATTAATAAAGCAAGACATTTTAAATATGCCCTTATCGGTCACGAATTGATTACTTTGCACAACAGAAAAATCATTTTTCGTTGTGAACGTCGGCTCTTTTAACAAGTGGCGTGATCGCGGCGATGAATATGTATTTTTGATTTAAGGATATACTTCATATGCATTTTCATTGTAAGAAATAAAATTGTACTTTTCGGGATTTTATATCAGTTATTGAGATTTTTCTAACGGCGATAACGAGTTGGCAAGATTCCAAAAATACGTATTAAAATTAAATACACCGTTTATCTCATATTTTTATGTCCACCAATCGCCGTGGCATTTCAGAGAACTAATGTTTTAATTTTGACGTAAGAAGAAGCAACCGCGAGTTACGTTGGACACAATTAAACTATTATATAAAGCAGTGGCGGCGCGTGGTCATTTTGACAACCGGGGCAAGCTACTGCGGGACCAAGTCACCCCCATCTACGGGGACATGATGAGCGCTGTAAGTTCTCCCATCATTTTATGAGTATAAAAACTATTCCATCGGTAACAACCAATCGGCAAAAGCGACAATTTTTTAACGATAAGAAAGTGTCTTTAAAACCGGTCCAAGTCAAGGGATCAATAAATATAGACATACCGGTAGTTTATTTTGAAACCTCTTTCAAAAGGAAAGGCAATATTTACCCAGATAAATACAATGACATATTAACAGAAACTTCGGGAAAGCAGACAAAACCTAAAATAAGGTTTAAAACGTTACTATGAAGAAAGGAAAGGTAATGCAAAGATAAGGACATGCGTCGCTCACTCATAGATATATATGCTGCTAGACTTCTACTGCTTGAACATATATGCAACACGCCGCGGTTTCTTGGAAGCAAAATGCTCAATAACGCGCTGATTAAAGTCATGCATCCCAGAAATAACGTCTCTGTGAATGGATAAAACAGCCAAGGAATTTAATCTATCTTGCTTCATTGTGTTTCTGAGATACGTTTTAATACGCTTCAGCGTGCTGAATGTTCACTCTGCGTCGGCGGAAGAAATAGGCGTCGTCAAAATGATGTCCAGAAATTTTGCAGACGCCGCAAAGGTAGTTACTAGAGTGTTATTTATGAGGAACCCATAGAGCGCGCAAGTTGATGTGATGTTCAAAAAAGTTTGATTGGTGTATATACATCGCAATTCATTTTCCAATTTACCCACGTTTATCATGGGGTAAAATTTGGAGACAGTAGCCAACAAATGGATGGGAAATTGACGTGCAAATTTTGAAAAATTTATGGGGTTCATCAAAGAGAACGCGGCAAGGTGTTCAGTGCGCAGACGATCGCCTATTTGATTCACCAGAATGTCACAGCATTCCTTTGCAGACAAAATCAAACGCTGTGTTGTTTGCCCGCGGCGTAAAGAAGCACTCCGTGTGTCGTCATATTTTATTGTTTCCCGGATACGGGATACAGCATCGCAGAAGTCTGAAATACACGACTGCACAGACGCTCCATCCATTATCCTTGACTGCAATGCGCCGTATAATACATCCACGTGATAGAATATTGTGGAGAAAAAAGCGAGAAAAAATGAAAACTCACCATCTTCTAGCAGACGCTTTAGACCTGTCGCCTTCCTCACAGAGCGTTCGTCCCAAACCGGAGAGCTCTGAATGCCATTGAAACACTCAATGAGCTCAGACCTAATTTCGGACACGCCCTGCACCACGCGTGATTGGAAGTTCCAACGTGTTGGTGCACAAGCTGGGAGACGGCGGCTACATATCTGACGAAGGAGGTCAGAGCGCTTCGGCGAAATGGAAAAAATGAAGAAAACCCCGAAACATTTGCAAAAAATATACGGACGAGAGCGGTATCAAGACACATATTTTTAATAACGAGGTTAAATTGGTGTGCATAACAATGTAAAAAATGCGCATGAGGAAAATCCTCTTTTATATAAACTTGAACACCATGTTTCGACCCACTCATGACTGCCGCGCCGTCATAAGTTTGAGCTATCAATTTTGACTTCGCGTTGTAAGGCTGTAACACTTCTTTCAGTACAGCCGATATCCCGCAAGCCGTGCAATCAACGATTGGTACAAAGCTGTGAAATCTCTCGGTAGGTTTACCATCTTTCACAAACCGAAAAATCACAGCCAGTTGGGAAACGCACGTGATGTCAGTTGTCTCGTCAGACTGAATCGAAAGGAACTGGCAATTCTCAATTTCCAGAGCCAAATGTTGTAAATAAATTTTATACATTGAGTCGAGCAAATCATTTTGGATATCCTTAGATGTCCCTTTCGAAACAGTTGCGGCATCAAGATGATCTCTCAATACTGTATCTAGGGATGCGGTGTAATCCACCGTATCCAAAAATACCCCTCTATTAGAAGAGCGAGCCCCTTCATCGTGCCCACGGAGGGACAGCTCGTGACAACCAATGAACTTCAAAACATCTATCAATCGACCGAGAACATGGTGGTTTTTCTCGACGTGTTGGTTGTGCCGACGAATAGAAACCGCGGTCCTTCATCAAACTGTGCTGCAATATTAACATTTCCAAATGTTCGGTATTTTACTGCATTGTCCAGATGCTCCATAGAACATTGATGATGACTGGCACGCTCGGAAAGATGTTTAAGATCTCTAAAACCAAATTTACACCAACGTGAGTCACGGGCGGTATCAAAAAGTAGGCAATAAAAACAATAAAGTGCATTTTTGTCCTCGCTGTGACACAACCATTCGTGTTTTTTATACCAAGTTTCTGCGCAGAATGTACGCTGACGCTTTCCTTCGTCATGGGATTGTTCCAGTGAACAATTTTTTGGTTGATAAGGCCCAAGACGTTGTACCTCTAATTTTTGTTCCAGCGGCAGCTGCGAAAACGGAGTGCGAAGTAGTGCATCAACCTTATTCATTATGATGTCTAAGGCTAAGAAATGCGAAGCCGGAAAGAAGTGAGGAGCTCAAAAGGAATGTGGAAAATCGAAAGCAAATGGACTAAAGGTCTCTAACTGATTCAAATAGCGAAACAAGCGACAAAAACGAAGGCGAGGAAACTATCAACTCTTCAAGCAACCAACGAACGAGAAGGAATGCGTGAATATGTCAACACGTTGTTGTAAGAAACGTCGGCATTGTGTCGTCATAATTTCGGGGCTAGCCCCGATGATTTAGTAAAAGAAACGGAAAACAAACGAGACAAACGCGGCGAGTGGAAGATAAATAAGAGAATAAGATATACAATGAGCAACCGGGGCAAAATCGGCGTCGCCCCGTCGACGTTCGACGAAGGCTTTGCAAGCGAAAAATGAACCATGTCGGGAGAATATAGCTAGTGTAGTCAGTCTGTGCAACCGATATTGAGGTATTTTTCGAATATTTTTTATTATACCGAAAAAACAACCGGTGCATTGCCCCGGTTGGCCCTATGCCCCTATTGACGCGCCGCCACTGATATAAAGACATTTTAGAATTTTGTAGTTGTCAGAGATTGAATATTTCACGCGACAAGAATAATCATTATACGCTGAAAAGACGTCCCTTTAACGAGCGCGTAATGCGAAGACTGTTACAGACCGCAATGGGAATTTATGATTATGAACCCCCCCCCCCCTTTTGAAAATCCTGGCTGCGCGCCTGTATATACCTATATAACTATTCCTACCTCCAGTAGCAGTAGAAAATGACGAAGTGACTGATGCAAAATAATTGTTATCAGAATATTTATTTATTCGTACATAAAGTGAAAATTAGTTTTTAAATCTATTATACAACAGCAAAAGTGTTTTGTTATACATGCATATACATCACAAATGATATCAAGAATTTGTACCCGAAGACACTTGAATGAAAGGATGATTTTATATCAAATTGTTATATAACACTATAAAATTCAATGGCCACAAAAATGTATATCACTTTTTAGCCAAAATAATGGTCAACCTGTGCAAAATAGAAATATAAAATATAAACCTCAATTTATACGTTGATAGATCGCAAAAGAAATGACATGATTTGATAATTGTACTACTAATCGAAAAGATTTTTAACCTTATTCAATTTATAGTACAAACAGCAACAAATAATATATTAAAATCAAACACACTGCCATAATAACGAATGTACGTTGAATGGAACACTGCGGTTAACCGGTTAATTTTACCCGGTTAACGGTTAAGTGTTTTCACTGAAATTCCCAGCTCTAATTAATCCCTAAGTTATAGTACAAACAGCAACAAATAATATATGAAAACAAACCCACTGCCATCATAACAATTGTAAAAAAAATCTCTAACATTTTAATTTTTAACTGCATAAAAAACACAAAAACATGGTCAACAAGGGAACTGATTTGAATAGTTTTTCAATTCAAAATTTCATTTTTTGAACATCCCTATTCCTTTATTTCTGGCAACATGCTTTTGATTAAAATTTGCCATATTGTTTTGTTACCATAATAAGCAGAACAAACCCAGTTCGATCATTCCCAAACTTGATTAGTATTCAAATACTAACTCCTTACAAATCGTTAGATATAATTGGATACTTGCACATGGCGTTGTTAAGAGCTGTATAAAGAGCTGTATAAAAAGTATGGCCTCGGTTGATACCAGTTAATATCAGAATCTACCAGCGAAGCTTGCTACACACAACTACTAAGATTAAAATTTAACATATCTAGATTAGGATTTACATATTTGACCTGGAGGAGAGGGGCCTTGTTTAAAAAAAAAGATGTCGTATAAAAAATATGCCCTCAGTTGATCCCAGTTAATATCAGAATCTTCCAGCAAAGCTTACTACAAACTACACTAAAATTGCAAAGTTTAGATTACAAGTTACAAGTTTACATTGCTAGATTAGAATAAGAGTAACATATCTATCTCGGGGGAGAGGATAGACGATGAGGCATCTTAATCTTAACCACAGCCTTAAGCCCACTTAGGTAGCAAGTTATTTGTTTCAGGAGCATTGACTATTCAAACATTATTCCTTTTTATAAAACATGTTGGTAAAAATGCTGTAAAATCCAGTAAAGGTTTCGACTCCATCACAACATTTTTGCTGATTGACTAGATCCGCCAGTGCATATCCTTCCTTCTCATCCATCTGAGATAATTCTGTTCGAACTGTGTAACGAAAGTATGGCACAGGACTGCGAACCAGCTGTGTAAATAGAGCAATATTATTAGGATTTGGATAATAATTTTTTTGGTGAAATTAGATTAAAGTCAATTCATGAAAAAAACTTTCTCCTAAGTCGTCGGTTCCCAAACTTTTTCTTCGTGCGGCACCAAATTATTAGCGAAAGACTCGCTGCGTATTTACACGAAAAAGAAATGCTGCTTTTAAATAAAACTCAATTTTGTGGTCGTTCACTTGTACTTCATGTCTTTCAAAGTGTGTAAACATGTAGGTCTAATAAATGAAGGACAAAAGTCAACTCTTCTCCCTCATCTCTGCAAGATTTACCCTTGAAATGAGCACTTAGCAACTCCTGTCTGCGGCGCACCCTTTGAGAACTGCTGCCTTAAGTAAAAGGCTTAAGTTACATGGTAAAATAATAAATGCCCAATTCTGAACCAGAGCTCTTTGCTTAGGGACCCTTTGTTTCTGAGTGAGTGCGGTGTTCTCTCGTCCGGTTACCAGTCCATATCGGGTATGGAATTAGTTAGCCTGTTATTTGTTCGAAAGCATGGACTTGATGATGGAGAAAGACGTAACCGTTGGTTATGTAAACCACCCTTCGGCGGCGAGTGTCCAGCAATCCTCTTGCACATAACTATCCCCGCATGGAATTCGAAATGGCAAACCCAGGCAGGGTAATCAGAGGTGCAGTGGCGAGCGTTTCCTAACGCTTAGCACGATGCGCTACACCGCCGAGCCAAGCCTATAGAAAAAATTCATTTGAAATTTATGTCATTTTCAGTACTTGACATCAGTCAGATGATAAAATAAAATTTTTCCAAACAAATTAGAATACATTGGGTATTCCATATTCAAAAATTCTCTTTCGAGTGTATACATGATGCAAAATTATTCTTACTTTTGAGTGAGTGCATGCGACCTTTGAGTAAACCAATATGATATATTACAGTTGTATTCATTTATACAAAGTATGACAATCAAGTTGTTAAAAACTGTGCAGACAATGCTCAGAAAGTCTCCAATCCTCCCCAAAAACATAATGCTTTTCATATCAAGGGAAAGATTTGGGAACCTGGAGACTTGTTTGGGCATAGATGTAAAACACCCTACATAAATTTACTAAGAATTTACACAAAAATAGGAAAAGTACTTTCAGCATTTTATTTGATTCATCAACGGTTTATAACTATATACGCAACCACAAGAATGTTCGTCTCATCAGATGTATTAGATCAGATCAAACTTTCCAAGAAATAAGGTGGACAAGATAAACTCTGACAAATATTTTTAATTAGCTTCACGTGCCCTCAAAAAAATGATCTATGCCCCCCTCGTGGGACACGCCCTAGCATTTGAGAACCACTGGTTTAGAGAGACATGTAACAATCTTAGCTATAGTAAAGGGTCATGAAAAAGGCAGTCCAAGTATATAAAGAAAATATTCTCGAGGAGTACCTTATACAGCATAGAATCCTTCAAGTTATTGTTTCCCTTCAACTGTTGATGAATAAAATCTGTTTTCATCCAATCTTTCCAGTTCGATTCCATGTCTTCAGCAGAGATGGATTCATCAGCTGTTATTCAAAAAAAAGTACATTGAGTCAGCATGATGAGAGGTTAACAATAGCTCATGTTAGGTGTACGCAATCTTCAATACCGGAGGGTTAGATAGAAATAACTGGGTGAAACCGCAGGCAACACCTTTATTCAACATATGCTTTCTAGTGGTTGAAGCTTTGCATGCGCAAAAATTTTGGTGATTGATCTTGTGACATGCGTTGTTCGCACAAGGTAGCTGCTGTTAAGGCATTGTAAAGTCATAAGCATAGATATTAAATTGGACTCAGGTATAGGGTTCGCAACGCAAAAGAGATTGGAATTACTCGCACATACCGAATTAAATTGAAAAACTCGTTTCACGAGCTGCACATCATTCAAAATTGGCACTTCTGCACAGGCCAAACAGATTCTCCCTGGGGGCCACTTTCAGCCTGCGAGCCGCAGGTTGCACACCCTCTGGCCTCTATAAATGTGTTTTCTCCTTTCAGCAGAGCCTCCAAAGTCCAAACATTGAGCAAGTAATATGAGAGGTTTGGGTAGACTAACAATAGCTTATATCAGTAGTTATACCGGGGTTACACGTCACCCTGGGGTTCTGCCAGCATGGTCCAGGGCCATGACGAGGGGGCTTCACGAGTTTCTATTCGAATCCGAAACTCAGTATAGCTAAATTATTACTGCAATCAAATACCAACTAGGTTTGCCAATAATATTAAACTTGCTACACTTCAAAGATTATTTTGTTTTGTCAGTATTAGGTTTTCTCTATTATATTTATAGTTTATACCAGTGGTTCCCAACTGAGGGCTCTTGGCCCGTTGGAAGGAGACCACCATGCCAAGCGCAAAACCAATTTTACTTCTACTAAAAAACCTAGTTTCTTCCTAGTTTCATTGCTTGATAAGGTCATTTTTCATACCTTTTTTGGGCATTAATTGTTTGGGCATAATCGGATTTGGAACTGGGGTCTACATGAAGTTAAAACAAATTTAAAGATGTATAATGGATGAAAACTTGGTTTTGTTCCTTTCGAAGAAACTTCATTTTGCATCATTAAGTGACTTCTCTAATTGATTTTTTAGTTGTTACGTAAGCTGACCTGTCACACCAGTGATCAGAAATCTTGCAGTCTCAGATCTTTCTTTTGGTTCTGTGTCAAGAGGATTGCCATTGTATGATGCTACTTCACTGTATTGCCCTGCATTTATAAAAAATAATAAAATACTTTGGTTTGGATAGGTTTAACTTGGAGAGGAAGGAAATGAAATGGCTTAATAAAATGTCTTGTCCCTTCTCCAGTCCATGTCTGGCATTGAAATATATTAAACAATTATTTGTTTTAGATGCAGACTTGATGGTGGACGAATGGCTTTTTGTAGTTAAATGGAGAATTTGAATACAACCTTTGGTTTTAAATAATTTGCTTTTGCACAACCTTGAAGCTCATGATGCCTCCTATGTATTTAAAGGACTTATTTATGAACTTATTCACATGTCCCACAATTACTCTGTTTCTCCCCATTTATGGTTTATTAAGTTTCTATTCACCACAATGTACATTGTATTCATACTAACATCCCATGTATCGAATGCCCATCTTTCAAATCCTAGTAGCTTATCATGTCCAAGTGACTACTTATACTACATAGCAGCTTATAGAGTAAAAGGAAATTCAACATTGAATTTGACAAAATTTGATCCCTAAAAAATAATACAAATGGGGATCACTAATATAATGATACTCTCTCTACCTGGCTTAGGAGTCAAACCAAGCTTAGCTCCTTCTTTCATTCTCTCAAGCCACTGAGGATCAGGCTTCCCAAATATACAGATGTCATCAGAATCGCATACGACGAAATTAACCCACTCAAATCTGAAAAATGAACAAAATTAAGGGAATTAAGGGAATGTCAATATCTTGGCAGATGCACCCCCTAAAAACAAACCCATAAATTTCTCAATTAGCCTACTTCAACAAAGATTTATTCAACACTTGATATTCTGCCTGTGTATGACTGTACCCAAAAGTTTCAGTAATCTAGAATGCTCTCCACAAAAAAAATTACTTCCTCCTCAGACTATTTTCCGAATGACCCTTGTTATATTTGTTTTTGCGGTCACCATGTGTTAAATAAGTAAAGTAGGCCCTTGTCTGGCTCAGTAGTGAGGATGTCGTACTGGGCATCAAAGAACACTAACTCCGTACTGCGGACTGCATTGTCAAGGTTTGAATTCTCAGAGGAGACTAGTCAGGATTATCAGCTGACACAATTGGTAATTAACCATGGCTTCCTCAACCATTCAGGTAGGGCTCAGGAGGTTGGCATATCATGGTAAGGGATACACTATACATACTACCACACTTCTGATTACCCATAGGAAATAATAAAGTGTAGGATTGCTAGACTCCCTGACGCCATAGGTTAGTATAGTTCATGTAACAACTGGACAGTTACCACTTCCTCTCTTCCAGGATATTTTATTAGAAAATACTATATTATACTAATCTAGATTGATAAACTGCTTAATTATTAATTTATATGATCCTGGGACTTGTTGCAAGGTGACAAACCAGGGTTGGTGCATGATTAGGCAGTCTGCTACTGGGAACACATATCAAAGTATCAACTTTTTACCTAGTGTTTGGTCCTTTTGAATTGTGCAGGTGCAGGGAGATGAAGTGGTCTCTGGCCTGAACATATTTTGATGTTTCTGTCCAATTCTTGACAAACTCCTTTTCTTCAAGAGGAGGTTTTTCGAAGTAGTTGAACAAGAAGACTCGATTGCTCAATGGAGCAACAACTCCAGCTTTTGTTACCTTTAAAGAAGAATAAATAAAATAACAAGAATAAGAATAAAATAAGACAAGAATAAATGCTTGTCTCAATAATAATCTAAATTAAACTTGGCCGTCACGCGACAAAAATTGCCGTTTTTTGTTAAAAACTCCCAAATGCCATCGTAATTTTTTTTCCTTTGGTAAATCGGATTATTTTTTCCCTAGGAATTTAATGATGATGCTATTAGATTGCGTTATTTTGTAGTATTTTGCGCAACTTCATTATACTGTATTTCTACCGATATTGAGGGACAACAATGTCCAGACGTCTCCCAAAGATGGGGTGTCTGATCATCAGTAAAATAGGTTTCTCTGAAACGAGACAATGTCGCTCGATCTGTATAGTGTGCCCTACTGTGATCTGGACTCAGTACTTAGTAACTGATTGTTTTGATGACTCTGAATGATAATTTCTAAAAATCAAACCCTCTATGTATAATATACCATAATATACCACATGAAATCAGGAGAGTAAACAAAACCTTAGATCAGTAGATAAGGTTTAAAATGGACAGAATATTAGAAAAGGGTTTTGCCAAAAAATCGTGGTACGTGTACTGTATTAAAATAATTCTCACATTAATACAGTTAATAGTGGTGCATTGTGCGCACATTAATCTGTAAATACAGAAATACCGTTGATAGAGATTATATAGTCTACCAATATACGAACTAGAACTGTAGAAACAGTTTGAGACAATCAAATCTCCAAATAGTAGACTTTTACTTTTGACCAATTGACTTTGCTCTTCTGCACAGCAATATTAAATTTCGAGACTACCATCAAATTTATCTCTACATTGAATAGTCTCACTTGAGCTCAGAATTGGGAAAATAAAAAATACTTGAAATCTATTTTTATTACCATATTCAGATACTAGCTATAATAATAATATTCACAAATATTTTTTCAAGACCGGGCAAATTTCTAGCCAATTACTTTTCTTACCAGTTTTCTGACAAATATCGTGGTAAACCGGCTCAGCATGGCAATTTCCGAGTTTAACAGCTGTAAAATATCTGCAATGCCTCGTACCCCGCGCTGCAATGTTGAGGCGCAGTTCTTACCACTTCATGGCAGCTCCTGCCACGAACGAACCGCGGCAGCTCTTGCCATGGTTTTATAGCGCTATTCGTATTCAGCAATCAGTATAAACGGCATATTCACAAATTAATGTACCAGATTTTAATTGATCCTGTGGAATTATATCTACATAAACCCTAACCCTAAATCTATCAAAACTGTATCCATAAGAAAAACGTTCCAACTTACCCAATATTTGTCACCATAAGGGAAGATAGGGCATCTTTACGGCCCACTTGCCGCGGTTACGGCAGCAAAATTTTACTCCCGCGGCAGCTCGACATTGGTTTGTGGCACCTAAAAAGTCAGTCGCGGTTTGGCCGTATCAGCCATGGTATGGAAATACCCCCATGGTTTTGCGGCAGCTGCAGACGCCACAGAATACTTAAAAATGCACTTGGCAATGTCATAGTCATAGTCAAGTTTATTTTTCCATCAAGTAAAAAAAGATAACATGCAAAATTAAGACGAATAAATAATATTGAATACACATTTCACTGGGGAAGGGAAACCGCGGGGAACCAAAGCTGGTTATCAAGGAGCGACACTCAAGTTTGCACAATTCTATGGCTATTTTCTCCTAACTGGAAATCTCGCGAAAACGATGCCCACTTCGCATGATATACAGAGGTCTCCAAAAGTTTATCAGAGGTGCTGTGGCAAGCGTATTCCTTTTTATTTTTATTTTAGTGCAGGAATGAAATATGAATTATTTTTTATTATTTCCTAACGCTCAGCACGCTGCGGAGCAACCGATACATTTATTGAACTCTAGTTTAGTGGTTCTCATCCGCCGGTCCGCGGACTGGTGCCGGTCCGCGGCAACTTTGTTGCCGGTCCGCCAAATATTTTTCCAATTTAATTTATTATAAGCATATTGCAAAATACAATGTATTGACGTCATGTCCGTTAGTTTTATGATAATTTTTTTTAACTCTTATTGATTCGTGGACCGGTATTCGTCTAACAACCAAACTTGGTGAGAGGTCCTCTGCCCATTTCAAACCCTGAACGGTTGCATGTTTATCGTTTTGATTGAAATACCCCCTGCATCGCCGTGAAGGGGAGTTTGCAGTTATAACTCCAATTATATTTGATATCTTTGAAATCGGTCCAGCTGAAAGATTTGAGAGCCAATCAGCAAAAATATGACAGCAATACTCTATGCAGGGACGTATCAGTGATTTCTACAAGTGAAGATGCAGTCACGGGACAAATATCGGCGGACACAATAAAATGATCAAACTTTCATTGAAGGGTTTAAACTTTAGAGCTAGTGACGTTATACATTCATTCCAACTTAAATCGACCCAATGTCCTATCTCCCTCAACCTTCCCATCCTCGACCCACTGTCTAATCTCCCTCAACCTTCCCATCCTCGACCCACTGTCCTATCTCCCTCAACCTTCCCACCTTCGACCCACTGTCCCATCTCCGCCAACCTTCCCATCTTCGATCCACTGTCATATATATCCCTCAATCTTCCCATCCTCGACCCACTGTCCTATCTCCCTCAACCTTCCCACCTTCGACCCACTGTCCCATCTCCGTCAACCTTCCCATCTTCGATCCACTGTCATATATATCCCTCAACCTTCCCATCCTCGACCCACTGTCCTACCTCCCTCAACCTTTCCATCCTCGACCCACTGTCCTATCTCCCTCACAACCTTCCCATCCTCGACCCACTGTCCTATCTCCTTCAACCTTCCCATCCTATCTCCTTCAACCTTCCCATCCTCGACCCACTGTTCTATCTCCCTCAACCTTCCCATCCTCGACCCACTGTCCCATCTCCCTCAATCTTTCCATCCTCGACCCACTGTCCTATCTCCCTCAACCTTCCTATTCTCGACCCACTGCCCTATTTTCCTCAACACTCTCCTTCCCTAGCCCAACCTATCTCCCTAAACCATCCTATTCTCTACCAACAGCGCTATACTACTCGATACCTAACGGCATTTACTCACGACCCGATCGTCACACTGAACTTTACTAACTTGCGATTATGCAAACTTTCAGGCGTTGTACTGGTCGAGTATGCCAATGAGATGATTCAATCGTACGCCGACAAAACATGGTTGACGACGAATGTAGGCTGAATTCTCAAATGGTAATCAATAACCATAATTGGTAGCTCAAAAATGTGCTACTAATTAGGCTACTCATTGGCCTCAGTTGTGGGTAGGGCTGGGCATTTTCGAATACCTGATGATTTCAGAATCGAATCGAGTATTTTTTTTGGATCGAATCTCGAATACTTGGGAGTCAATGGGAGATATGTAATTATATGCTACTTTTTTATTGTAATTGGTTCTGTCAACAAATGTATTACTGAAAACATGAATAAATCACTAAGACAGATTGCGAAGGGTTCACACACAATGAAAAACACTTATTTATCAATAACTCACTACAGAAAATAGTCATATGTCAGAATTGTATTGAAAAATATGGCTTGAAAAAAAATTGGGTAATTCACCTCGACCATTGGCGGAAAGAAAAAAACAAGATGGCGGCGATTTGAAATTTTGCTCCGAACCTATTCGAATAATTTAATATTTGAATCGATCGGAGTGCCCAGCCCTAGTTGTGGGATCAATGATAAAGCTGTTTTCAAAATTTCAACAAAGATTGTTTTATGATCTTGTCAATTGGGCATGGCGTGACAACATGATGCTGATACGAAATAAATAATAGTACTTTGATCCGTATAAAAAAAAAAGTATTCCTCATCATTTTATAGTAGAAGCGATGCTAGAGATAAAGTACAAACTGCGTCCTTTGCAACTTCATTAAATTACAAGGGCAGATAAGCTCAATAAAGGGACTGTACGTTGAATTGAAGGACATTTGGCAACACTAGCTACGACAAAACTTTCCATGGTTTCAAAATAGTTTGGAAAACAATTATTCACTGAGAGAATTATATTTTGACTGCTTTTTTGTCTTTAACTTATGGCTAATACAATAGTATTATTTGGACGTTGTGTTGAGTGAAGGCAGGTGGGAGCAGTACAGTCCTTCGGCTGATCTCTATCGCACCGCTTTCTGCGATTGTCCGATCCCAACTTCCAACAACGAACACGTAGATATCTGAATTCGCCAGCACACAATTGATATTTTATTGTCAACTTGATCGTCACAATTCTCCAACATCTTACGGATAAATAATGTTGCTTTCTGCCTTGACACTCCCCTCTTATATTTTCATACAAACCGTGGTGTGCTAATATATAATAAATTACGTCCCTGAGTTAATGACCTATCAAGCACGGCAGGTGATCTAATCTTGATCGTCCGATAACAACAACATGTTTTGTCCCCGGGCTAAGGTCTGCAACTAGTGTTTACCCCCTAAATTTCGGGTGTGACACCATACTTTAATTCTTATCGTAAATAAAAACGAATAAATTTGTATATAAACCTATCTGAGTTTGATTAAAAAAATTCAGAATTACCACAAAAATAACATGGTCTGAACTGTGACAGCATGACATGCAAAGATGTTTCATTCTGGAGAAGAATATGGCAGAACATTCGTTGAAAAAGCATGACAAAGTGTGCGAATATTTGATTATTTTCTCATTGTCTTTCTTCACTCGGAAATATGGGTGACCTTGATTTATCCAACTCAGACAGGTGTATATACAAATTTCTTTTACGTGACTGAGTTAAAGGCTGAAAAGCAATCAAAAGTATATTTCTCTCAGTGAATAATTCTGTCGACCCACTGTCCTATCTCCCTCAACCTTCCCATCTTCGATCCACTGTCATATATATCCCTCAACCTTCCCATCCTCGACCCACTGTCCTATCTCCCTCAACCTTCGACCCACTGTCCTATCTCCCTCAACCTTCCCATCTTCGATCCACTGTCATATATATCCCTCAACCTTCCCATCCTCGACCCACTGTCCTATCTCCCTCAACCTTCGACCCACTGTCCTATCTCCCTCAACCTTCCCATCCTCGAACCACTGTCCTATCTCCCTCAACCTTCCCATCCTCGACCCACTGTCCTATCTCCCTCAACCTTCCCATCTTCGATCCACTGTCATATATATCCCTCAACCTTTCACATCCTCGACCCAATGTCCTATCTTCCTCAACCTTCCCATCCTCGACCCACTGTCCTATCTCCCTCACAACCTTCCCATCCTCGACCCACCGTCCTATCTTCTTCAACCTTCCCATCCTCGACCCACTGTCCTATCTCCTCCACCCTTACCATCCTCGACCCAATGTTCTATCTCCCTCAACCTTCACATCCTCGACCCACTGTCCCATCTCCCTCAATCTTTCCATCCTCGGCCCACTGTCCTATCTTCCTCAACCTTCCTATTCTCGACCCACTGCCCTATTTTCCTCAACACTCTCCTTCTCTAGCCCAACCTATCTCCCTAAACCATCCTATTCTCTACCAACAGCGCTATACCACTCGGTACCTAACGGCATTTACTCACGACCCGATCGTCACACTGAACTTTACTAACTTGCGATTATGCAAACTTTCAGGCGTTGTACTGGTCGAGTATGCCAATGAGATGATTCAATCGTACGCCGACAAAACATGGTTGACGACGAATGTAGGCTGAAATCTCAAATGGTAATCAATAACCATAATTGGTAGCTCAAAAATGTGCTACTAATTAGGCTACTCATTGGCCTCAGTTGTGGGTAGGGCTGGGCATTTTCGAATACCTGATGATTTCAGAATCAAATCGAGTATTTTTTTCGAATCGAATCTCAAATACTTGGGAGTCAATGGGAGATATGTAATTATATGCTACTTTTTTATTGTACTTGGTTCTGTCAACAAATGTATTACTGAAAACATGAATATATCACTAAGACAGATTGCGAAGGGTTCACACACAATGAAAAACACTTATTTATCAATAACTCACTACAGAAAATAGTCATATGTCAGAATTGTATTGAAAAATATGGCTTGAAAATTTTGGGTAATTCGCCTCGACCATTGGCGGAAAGAAAAAAAAAAGATGG